CAAACCCCCCCCCCCCCCCCCCCCAGATTTCTATTTCCCCTCTATTTCTTCCTTCCCTTCCCTTCTGCCTTTCCTTTGTCCCCTCAATAGTCAGTTTTTGGACAAAAAAAACCTGCCTAGCCCAAGGCTCTGCAAGGCTTTCAGCCAGGCAGGCAAACAGCACTGATGCAAATCCTACTGCACCCCTGAACGGGGAAATTCCTTGCATGGATACCGTGATGCAGCTGCACAGGTGGCCAAAATCCCTGGGTAACAGGAACCTAAAAATAAGGCACTGCCCCGCCTCTCTAGCCAGAATTCCTCAAAGGGCAGGGGCAAATGTGAGGATAAGGGCTCAGGGAATGAGTTATGCAGAGCCTGAAGGGGTGGTAGTGCTAAGCCAGGGCTTGGGGAGGTGGAAAAGGGAAGCCTGAGGGATATCGAGGAAAACCAGACCCAGCAAAGCTTTGCCTCCAGGGTGAGAGCTCAGTTTAAAGCCCCTGTGCTGCCTTGCAAAGCAGGAACTTTTTAATCCACTTGTGTGGGGTCAGAGTAAACCTGATACCAAATCTGAGGGTGTGACGCACGTTCTGCTGCTCAGGCAAGGTGGGGGACTCATCCATCTCCTTCTGCTGACAAAATAATCATTTGATTCTTGCAAAGATAAACAGTCCCAGGTGCAAGGAGCAGCATTGATGCAGTATCACTACCCAGTCAGCCTGAGATATGACTCAAATCTCAGGTGTTGTACACGGAAACCGCCAATAAATATTGAGTGGGCAGGTGTTGCCTCTTACCTCAATCAAGTTTAAATTTATGGTAAAAGTAAATCATTAAGATTAAAAGCAGCTTTCTGGTTTTGTAGCCCTTTTCTCTTTCTATGTAATAATGTGAGGTTGAGCCACTTTAATTCATATTTAAGGAATTAGCGTGAAAATTGAGGTGTAAGGGCTGTGACAGGAATCCCAGAAAATACATGTTCCTTGTCAGTGTGAATTAATTAAGCACTGATGTACTTGAAACTAAAATTAATCATGTCCACTTACACTTAATAGGAAAATTCATTGTTGAAGAGACCCCATAGGGCTCTGAAGATGTGTAAGGTGCCAGGGCACAAGGAGTCTTGTTTCTGCCCTGCTCCCCCTCTATTTGGGGCAGAGGAAACCCCCAGCTTTACAGCTGGCAAGGTTTTGATGTCCATTTCCATGATTTGTGGTAAATTTACTGTGTCCAGTTCTGAGCTCCTCAGGACAAGAGAGGCAGAGCTCCTGGAGGGGGTCCAGCGGAGGCTGCAGAGGTGATGAAGGGATTTGGAGCATCTCTGAGGAGGAAAGGAGGAGCTCAAGAGGTGGCACAGCTGAGAGGGGACCTTTGTAACGTTTATAAATATCCAAAGGATGGATATTTATGTATCTGGATATTCCAGAGCATGGACCAGGCTCTGCTCCATGGGGCCCAGCAATGGCAGATGCTGATGCCCAGGAGTTCCACCCGAGCAGGAGGCAGAAATTTGTCCCTGGCCAGTGACGGAGCAGTGAACAGAGTGTCCAGAGAGGCTGTGGAGTCTCTCTCACTGGGGATATTCCAGAGCTGTCTGGACACAATCCTGTGCCAGGGCTCTGGGATGACCCTGCTGGAGCAGGGAGGTTGGACCAGGTGACCCTTTGTGGTCCCATCCAACTTGACCCATTCTGGGATTCTGTAATTTCGTACAGCTTGGCAGGGAGCCCAGGCACCCCAGTGGGAAGGAGGTTGGTCCACAGTGAGGCTGGTGGAGCAGGAAGGGGACCCCACACAGCCCCCGATTTTGGGTGGTGATGGGAGTGAGGAGGAATCCCACACGCACCCCGACTTCTGGTGTGAGGGCAGTGAGCAAGGTCCCACACAGACCCCGATTTTGGGAGCCCCAAACACTTCCCAGTTTCGGAAGCGAGGGCAGGGATTACGGAACCCCAAACACAGCCCGGGTTCGGTGTGAGGGCAGCGGGCAGGGAGCCCCAAACACAGCCTGGGTTCGGTGCGAGGGCAGCGAGCGGGCACCCCCAGCCCGGTTTCAGATGCGAGGGCAGCGAGCGGGCACCCCCAGCCCGGTTTCAGATGCGAGGGCAGCGAGCGGGCACCCCCAGCCCGGTTTCAGATGCGAGGGCAGCGAGCGGGCACCCCCAGCCCGGCTTCGGGCGGGTGTGAGGCGGCCCGTCCCCTCAGGGCGAGGGGCGGCGGCGCATGCGCGGGGCGGGGGGCGGTGACGGCCGCGCCGGCGGAGGCGGCGGAGGGAGCGGGAGGGTCGCTCGGGGCCGGCGGGCAGCGGCTCCGGGTTCTGCTGCGCTCCGGACCGGGCCGGGCCGGGCCGGTCGGGACCGCCCCGCCATGGGGACGCCGGGCGCCGGACGCAAGCGGCTGCCGAACCGGGAACGCCTGACGGCGGAGGACGATGCGCTCAACCAGATCGCCCGCGAGGTGAGCGGCGGGAGGCGGCATCCCCCTTTCTCCATCCTCCTCCCCTCGCCTTCCCCCACGGGCTCCCCAGAGCGCCGCGCAGGCGCCCCCGGCCACCGGCACCGCGGCGGCTCAAGGGCGAGGTGGAAACCCTGCTTCACCCCCGCCTGTGGCAGCATCCCGGGCTCCGCTCCGGCGCTCCGTGAGGGAAGGGCGTGCGGTGCCGGAGCCCCGCCGCTGCAGCCCCGCCGGAGGGGGTGTCCATCGCCGGCCGCTGCTGCTGAGAGCCACTGGGATTGGTGTTCAGCACTGAAAATAGGCCGCTCGGGTGTGTTACGGATAGGTATAAATCATAAAATCACAGCGTGGTTAGGGTTGGAAGGGATCCCTCAGATCGTCCCCTTCCAAGCTCCCTGCCGTGAAACACCTTCCACTGGACCAGGTTGCTCCGAGCCCCATCCAAGCTGGCCTGGAGCACTTCCAGGGATGGGGGTGAAAAATGAAAACCAGAATGCTGCAAGGTGATGCTGGGCGTGGGCATAAGTGACCCCTCTAACTTGGAAACTGGTTTTTATATTGCTGCCCACCAGATGCTGCATTGTGCTCAATGTGACTTTAACCTTCTAAACCAGCTGATTGCTGATGCTTCCTGCCTCCTTATTCTTCTTATGTGCACTTAAATTGGTTCGGTGGTAACCAAGATAATGTGAGTTTGGTTTTTATGTTTACTAAATCTGACAAAGCCATCCTTGCTGTGGCAGTCCTCCAATGGGGGAAAGGGGATAAGGAGCCCTGGGGTTCTTCTCTAGTAGGAAACCTACAAGAAAGATGGAGAGGGATAGTTTACAGGAGCATGTAGGGACAGGACCTGGGGGAATGGATTCAGACTGAAAAAGACCAGGGTTAGATGGGATATTAGGGAGAAATTCTCTGTGAAGGTGAGGAGGCCCTGGCACAGGTTGCCCCAAGAAGCTGTGGCTGCCTCATCCCTGGAAGTCTCCAAGGTCAGGTTGGATGGAGCTCTGAGGGACCTGGTCTGGTGGAAGGTGTCCCTGCCCATGGCACAGGGTTGATCTGAGTCCCTTCCAACCCAAACCATTCTGTGATTCAGTGTCTAAACTGCTCCAGTGCTGCTGCTGAATGTGGCCATCCTCTTCCCCAGCGTGGGTTATGTGTGTCAGCCCACCTGGTGTTGGTGTGACCCCAAGATGGGTTACTAGATAAATTGTCTTCTGGAAGACTTTTCAGTCTCTCTCTTGGTTTCCTTTCCTGATTCAGAGCTGCAGCAGGATCGGGTGAATGCTAATTTGTGGCTTATTTTTGGTGGCACTGGCTGGTAGGTTGAGTTAGCTGTGACATTGTGCTCCTAATTACCACCAGTGCCTTTCCAGTTGTTGTGCACCATTTTCTGGTGGTTTGTAGCATCTTTGGAATACACCCAGCAGAGTTTTGTCTGAGTGATTCACGCAGTGTGTTCTCTGAAGGCAGATTTTTGTGGCGGGGTGATGAGAAGATTCCCAAGGGTGGAGTTTGAGGTAGGAGGACAAGAATGTCTCGTGTCCTGGACATGAGATAGCAAGTAAGAGTGATTGTGCTGTCTGTTAGAGTCATGATAATATCCTAAGAATTGTTTTGGGATGAGGGTTTGAGTTCCACAAATGTGTCCTGGCTGTGCTGTCATTTGATCAAGGAAGACATCAGTCTCTAACAAGGAGCCCAGCTGCTCTTTTCTGTTGCACGTTTTTCTCCCACTTTCTCTTTTCTTTATCTTAGGTCTGCTTTTCACTGCGTTGTGTAATGGTTTGAGGACTCAAATATTGTGGTGGTTTGTGGCTTTTTTTTCCCCCCTTCCTTCTCCTGGGGTTTGTTTAAAGGACAACTCCATTTGCTGAAAAAGCCCAACACAAGCATGTCTTTTATCTTTTCCCTTGAGTGCTAAAACTGTGAACTGCCAAGTTCAAGGTTCAGCATTTTCCCATATTATTTTATCTATTTGCATTACTCTGTCTCAGAGCTCTTTAATTGTTTTGTTATTTAACTGCCTGTTCTCCACACAAAGGATCCCAGATGAATCCTTCTGTATGATCAAGAATATGTCAACTAAACCTTTTGTCTCTCCGTAGAAAGGATGTTGAGAGCCTCCATGTTAAGAAGGTGGGAGGGTTACTGATATTTTGGCTCTTCCTTTTAGGCAAAACTGGGACACAGACACGTTGCTTTTGCACATAGATTTTCACTCCTCTCTTGGCTTTGGTCCTTTGTTATCCAGAAGCCAGAGGCTTGTTATTTGAGATGCTAGAGTCTCATTTTCCCTATGTCCATGTGGGATAGCCCAAGAGAGCATCCAAACTAGACGGAATCACAGAGGTACCTTTTATTTTGCGGTTATTTTGGCAAACCCACTGTTCTCACTGCTATGTGCTCCTATGAGGCAGCGAGACTTGCGAGGACTTTGTGAAACTCCTGCCATTTGAATATGAAATTTGTTTGGACTTGCAGCTGGGATGTCTTGCTCTGTGTCTCGCACAGCCCAGGAGAGAGCCTGGCGTGGTGAAGAGGGCAGCGAGAGCGATCGTGAGGGGAAGTAACTGAGCAGGAGGAAGGAAATTGTGAGAGCGGAGCATCTTGTAGTGACAAGGGTTTGGTAGCAGTATTAGTCATGTTAATCAGCAGTAGTTTTAACGTTTGAGGCACTTTCTGAAGTAGTTTATCACCTTGTCTAGAGCCATTCAGAGCAGGGGTAGAAGGTGCAGATCCCTTCCATCAGGAAAGGGTAGTGCTGCACCGCCAGATCCGGCTGCGGCGTTTGACAGGCGCGGTAATTAAGCGGATGGCAAATATGTAAATATAATTAACACGAAACAGGGTGTTCTGAGTTTCTAACAGACTCACAGGCTGCCACTCACAGGATTTGCTGTTCACACACCTGCCTTGTGCTGCTGAGTTGTTTTTTCCTGGGCGGCAGCGCGGCCGATCAATGATCGGCTTCTCCGCTTTCAGGCTGGCCTCGACAGCAGCAGATCATTCCGTGTTTAGGTCCCTGGAAACTTTTGGGCTCTTTCATTCCCCTCGGTGGGCGCATGCCAGCAGTGTTTGCAGAATCTAGCGCTTTGATACTGCTCAAGGTCTGTGCCAGCAGAGCCGGCGGGAGCCGCGGCCGCGCGCTGCGCGCTCGTCTGTGCGGACGGAGCGCGTGCGGCTCGGGAAGGCGCAGTCCTGCCCAGCTGAACCTTCCAGGAGCTGCCTTCCTGCTTGGATTAGATGGCTTTGATGTGATTGCTCGAGACACTGTTTCCAAGGGAATGGTTTTTTTTGCTAACTTTCACTCCGCTAGCCGCAGTAATGATTGTTACGTGGGCAGCGGTTTTGCAAATCCAGCAAGGAGCTGTGTAAACGAGATATTTTTCTTCTAGGCAGATAATATTAGTTACTGTTTTTTATTTTCTTGAATGAGGAAGGACAAGGTCAATTTCTTGTTTGTATTAGGAATGTAATTGACACCTTGTTTTGCCACAGTTTTTGCAGGCAGATGTGTGTTACACTGTTCAGCAAAATGATCCTGCTGTGTGTCCTCTCTCTGCTAGAAATCTTCTTCATCCACCATTTTACAGAGCAGAGCTCTTTAGGTAATAAATTAATTTGAAACTAGTAATTCAAGCAGCATAATTTATTTTTTATTGTTAAAGAAAGTAATGTTGCAAGGGCTGTGCCTTCACTCTTTGTACACTTCATGTCACTTTCAAGATGTCACCTACATCTTTGTACATACATAATTATTACTTTGTTAAAAACTAGCATGATCCATTTATGGACCATGCATTTGATTATTTCACTGAAGTAATCAGTTTGGGCATTGACCTGTATTCTTAGAGATTCAAAAATTAGGATCTTACACTGCTATGAAGGAGCAGAAAGTGTTGCTAATTAGAAAAAGCTCAAAATGCAAATGAAACCAGCCAGCCAGGTTTAATGGTTACAGTAAGAAGGCACTAAGTAACTTCAACAGGCTAAATTGGAGTTTAGAGACCAGAAGAGATTGCTATGATGGTTGAATGTGGAATCTGTTAAATTGAGGGGTTAATTTGGGGGAGAAAACTCTGTTTTATACAGCACTTTGGGTGACTTCCGTAAATAGAGATGGAAACAATTTGGTACAAGTTGAAGCTAAGTCAAGCAGAGTAGCTATTTGTAAATGGGAACACAAGCCACACAAACTTTATTGAACTGTTATGCAAAGCAGAGCATTTAAAGCAGTGTGTTCCCTAAGGATATACTCCCTTAGGATATATTCCCTATGTGTGAGATCTGGGTGCCTCAGTAGGGTAGGGGTGGAACTTTTTTGAGCAGTATTTGGCATTACAGATGGGTGAAGGCTTTTGTAAGCTGGCTGGATGTTCCAAGAGAAGCCCTTAGAAACAGCCTTGACTTATTTTTTTATTGCATTACTTTCTGCCTTTAGGAGTGTTCATGTATGATCCAAACAAATGATCTGAGAAAAGCATGTCTGGCTTTTCTGTTCTAGAACAGAAAGTTACGAAAGCAAGGGATGCTCTTGGAGGGCTTGACTCAGCCCGGCTGACCTAAATATAGGAAGGAAGGAGGACTTTGTAGGCGATGCTTGCCAGTAGGGCGTGGGGAATTGTTCCAGATTTGAGATGATTTGATGTGGCAAATATGCTCTTCATCAAACTCTCCTTTTTCCCTAGTGCTTTGCATCCATATATCCAACAAATGGTGTTGGCATCACTTTACAGCCTCTCTCCCCCAAAGAAAATGTGGGAAGGAGCAGTTTAAAGAAGTGAGATGAAAATCTGAAGACCCATCTCATGTTGGTTAAATGGGTGACTGGAGCCTGTCCTACAATCTGCCTCTCAACTTGAAATAATCAGTTGCCTTTTTTTGTGTCCGTGCCTGGCCTGAGTCCCCTTCAGCTGTTCTCTTGCTGTCTGAGGAAGCAGCTGTTTAGGAACTGTGATTCCTGTTTCAGTCAAGCAAGGGACTACTGGTAGGATTAACAGCAT